CATCTGCAGATATAATTCAGTCCCTAGCAAAATCCCAGCAGGGCTTTTTTCAAAAATTGATAAATCAAATCTAAAATGTGTATCAAAATGCAAAAGATCTAGAAAAGCCAGACAATGTTAAATAAGAAAAACACACCTAGATGATTCATACTACAAACTTTACCACAGTAATGAAGAGTTACTAGAGTAAGGATAGACAGATAGATCAATGGGACAGAACAGAGTAAGAAATAGACCTACAAGTGCAGAGTTACATAATTTTCAATAAGGAAACAAAGCAATTCAATAGGGAAAGCAGTCTTTTTTACACATTTATTTCAAAATTATAGTTGGTATTATTATATTAGCTTCAGGGGTACGACATTGTGACAAGACACATATAACTTATGATCTGCATGATAAGTCCAGTACCCACCTGGCACCATACATAGTTATCACAGTACTGTTCACTTAAAAAGGGACAACAGTCTTTTTCATAAATGATGCTAAAAGACTCAATGGGAAAAAAGGAACTTTGACTTCTATTATCACTGCACACACAAAAATCTGAATTAAAAAATCTGTGTGAGATGAATTGAACACCACAAAATAAAAACCAGAAACTATCTTAATGACTTTTGAATTACACAACAATATTTTAGACTAGACACAAACAGAACTAGACCAAAAACATCAATAAGTTAAACTACCAAAATGAAAAAAATTTTAATCATCAAATAACATCATTAAGAAAATGAACAGGTTGGCATAAAAACAGACACATAGAACAATGAAACAGAATTGAGGGCTCCAAAATAAATTCACACATACAGAGTCAATTAATTTATGACAAAGGAGCCAAGATTAAACAATGGGGAAAGGACAGTCTCTTCAATAAATGTTGCTGGGAAAACTAGGCAGCCACATGCAAAAGAATAAAACCAAACTACTATCTTACATTAGACACAAAAATTAACTCAAAATAGACTAAACACTTGAATGTAAGAACTGAAACCATAAAAGTCCCAGAAAAAAACAGGCAGTAAGATCCTTGACAAAGGTCTTGGCAATGATATTTTTTGATGTGACACCAAAAGCAAACAAAAGCAAAAATAAACAAGTGGGACTACATCAAACTAAAATGCTTCTGTTCAGCAAGAGAGATAATCAACAAAATGAAAAGGCAACCTACTAAATGGGAAAATATTTGCAAATCATCTAACAAGAGGTTAATAACCAAATAATACATATGTTAAAAAAAAAGACCCTCATACAACTCAATAGCAAAAAAACAAACAATCCAAATAAAAAATGGGCAAAGGACCCAAATAGACATTTTTCCAAAGACATACAAATCACCAGCAGGCACACAAAAAGACGCTCAACATCACTAATCCTCAAGGCAATGCTAATTAAAATCATGAGATACCACCTTACCCCTATTAGAATGGCTGTAGCAAGAAGACAAGAGATAACAAGTGCTGAACAGGTCTGGGTAGGTGCCTGGGTTGTGGGTGTGGTCCCTGGTCCCAGGGAAAGCAACCAATGGATGTTTCTCTCTCGCATAGATGTTTCTTTCCCTCTCTTTCCCCCTCCCTTCCCTTTTCTCTAAAGTAAAATTAAACAAAGTTAAAAAAAAAATTCCTACAAAGAAAACTCCAGACCTAAATGCTTTTCCTGATACAGCTCCTTTTTTGGAATTAGTTACTCTATTCTTAGGCAAAATATTCCAGCGTTTAGAAAAAAAGGGGGAACAGCACCACCTCATTTTATAAGCCTGGCATAAACCTGAAAAGGAAAATTACAAGCCAATTTTACTCAAACACAGATCCAAATCACCAAACAAAAATCAGCAAATGGAGGCCAAAAATAGTACAATAGTAAGTATCCTTTCTAAGTAAGTTATTTTCCAATGCATATTTAATGTAATATTAGAAAACTTCATTGGTATAATTCATTACACTATTAGACAAGTTAAGAAAAGTATATTATTCACTCACTGATTCCATGAACAAATAGTACTAGCACCTTTCACAGGCCAGGAGGCCAGGCATCCTTTAAGGTGCTGGAAATACATTAACAAACATTTAAAAGTAGATACTGGAAAAAGAAAATAATTTGTAAAAAGCTACAGCTGTTCATGAGAAGAGAAAAGCTCTTAAACTAGGAAAAGAAGTGTGTTTTCTTGATCTAATCAATACTATCTTTAAAAGCCTCCAGCAAGCACTAAAGGTCTTTCCCTTAAAGTCAAACACAGGAATTTGTCTCCTATCCAAATTCCATTCAGTGCTACCAGAAGTCCCCAGCTAATCCAGTAAAGAAATTTTTTAAAAAGTGCACTAAACAAATAATATTTATAAATATTTACTTATTCATTCTATACAGATAAAATTGTCTATGAAAACCATATAGGACACTACATACAATTTAAGAGAATTACATATTTTGGCAAACCTTGTGAAATTCAAATTCTATATACAAAGCTGTTGGGCAAAAAAACTGTAATTTCAAAGCGTGCACAAACACACACACAAAGTTCCCTGGAAAAAATCTAACAAAAAACCCCAACAACCCTTCAATTCTTTTTGCTAGTATTCATAAAATTTATTAAAATACATTATAGAAGATGTAAATAGATAAATTTTAATTATAAGATTCAATGGCATACTAATGTCAATATTCTCAAAATATTCAACACAACCTGAAAACAAAACCCCAGTAGGCGGAACTTTACAAATTAACTCTAAAATTTAAGCCACAAGGTATATAAGAATGAATGGGTGGGTGCATGAACTTCATCCACAGGATATTTAGAAATCTCAATGCATAGTTGCATCAATATGGAAAATAGGATGTGTCTGAAAATACTTAAAGAGTGTGAGTCCATTCAAAAATAATTACTAAAATAAAGAAATACATTTTTGAGAAACGTATAAACAGCAAAATCCATACAGAAAATCTTGGGAGAAGAGGAGGATGCAATGTAGGAGCACAAAGGTTTCTGAGGTTTCATAATCTTTCTTGGCCTGATTTGTGGATTTGCTTTATGTTGTCCTTTTAATTGTGTTTTTGTGTTTTCATACTTTTTCCCCCCATATAATCCTATAGGAGAAGGGTAAATAAAAAGAACCAAGTAAAATGGTAAAAATCAATGCAAAATGTTAGTAATCACAATAACTATTAATGGACCAACTCTCAAGTTAAATTAACAATGTTGAAGTGAATTTCTAAATCTAGTACATGCTATTCACGGTACATAAAAGTCAAACTTAGTGACAAAAATAATAACATAATAACATAAAAATATACAAGTGCACAAAAAAATTAAATATAAAAGGCATTCTAGACAAACGCTGCCTAAAAGAAAACCAGTGTGCCTAGTTTTCTAATATTAGACAAAACTGACCGCAAAAGGGAACTGACCACAAAAGCAAAAGGAAGGTAATTTATCCTCGCGGTCTCCAATTCCTGAGCCACCATAATGTCCTGAACTCATTCGGCCAGGCTTTTCCTTCTCCACTCCAAGGTGTCGGTTTTTTGTTTTGTTTGTTTTTAACCAGATCACTAGTGACTGCCCCTGGCCTCTAAATATGGTCCTAAATGTCAGTCCTCGCGTCGCCAGCGTTTTATATCGCTCATCATAGGACCTAAAACACACTCCTCGCCCGGCTACCCGGCTTCCCAGTCCCAGGTCCCGGCTCCCCTAACTCTTCCTTTTCTAGTGGGCCTCCCGTGTTCTCAGGAAGACCAGGAGTAAAGGGTTAAATGAGGAAAGCGGGCTTACCCAACTGAGGAGGGGTAGCCGAGGTCTTGGAAGCTACCGCCAAAGGTCGAGAAGTTTCAACCGAAGCTCCGATCGGCTCCGGGGACGCGGAGTGTCACCAACAGCTGGGAGTAAACCATAGAGGAGTTCTCTACGTCCCACGTATGGAGCGGCGATCGCCTCCCGAGGATAATGGCTTCCGCTCCACTTCCGCCTTCTAAATCTCGCGGGACTTCAATGGCTGCTATAACCCGGAAGCACTGAGCGGAAAGGATTCTGGAAAATGGAGTCCTCGGGTTAGGGGGCGTGGCTGGAGTGCCCAGGTGAATTCTGATGGTTAAGTACGTGTCCCGAACATAAATGTTTGCAAGTCTCCGGACTCAGTTCTCAGGCGTCTTATAATCACTCTCTGTCGGTGCAACGATTCTCACCTCTGTAAGTAGTGTTTCTACACTCAAGACCCAAAATGTCCACTCACAGCCCCACACCTCTAACCTGAATTCCAGATGAAACGAGACATTCACCACTTGGATATTTTACAGACACTTTAACATGCCACAGTTCAATCCCCGAACTCCATCTTCTCAAACCCAAATAATAGGAATCCTGCGTTTCCACCTATAAACCTTGGCAACACCCTCAACCCTTTTGTTTGTCCCATTGATCCATCAGGGATTATTGAGTTCTACTTGATGGGCAACCCAGAACCTGATCACTTTCCCAGAATTGTTTTTCATACCTCTGCATCAACTCAAGAGTGGTCATGACGAGAGTTGGAAAAGTCCCCATTAGTATTTTGTGGTCCTCTTTTATAATACCCAAGTCAGACATTTAAGAAGCACATCTTCCAGATGAGGGCGTTTATCTGGGCGGGGTGAGAACTCAGGAAGCACTAAGATAAGTCCACCTCCTAGATAAAGTTCTAACCCTAACTCTACCAAGGCAGCCATCTCAAGTAAATTGTCTACAGCCTGTTTCTCCTGTATAAAAGAGCCATCCTAAAGTTGTTGCAAGACTGAAATGGGTAACACAAGTATCTCAGATTATTATTTTTCAGGGACAAGGAGTTGGTAGAGTCCTGGCTGGGTAGCTCAGTTGGTTAGAGCATCATCTGGTATGTCAAGGTTGTGGGTTGGATGTCTGGTCAGGGCATGTTTGAGAAACAACCAATGAAAACATAAATAAATGGGACGAGTGGATGTTTCCATCTCCCTCCCCCCGAAAAAAAATCAATAAATTTAAAAAAAAGTAAATGTTTTTAAACACAACAAGCCCACCTAGAGAAGTGAGCAAAGACATGAGCAAAAGTGGAAAGACCTGGGACAGGAGGTGGCTCAGGGTTAGGCAGGGAAAACTCCAGAAGAGGTAAGGGATTGGATCTTCATGATTTGGAGCCAGGACAAAGGACAAAGAAAGGAAAATGATTCTCTGGGATTCAGGCAGGACCGGAGAAATTGGGTGGTTAAAATCAGTAAACAATGTTGGATCAGGGTCAGAGCTTGTCTTATCAATGCTAAATCCCAGTGAACTCACAAGGAGGATTAATTGATGGAATGAAAGAAGGGGAAAATACTTACTTAACCACTGAATTCAGAGTAGAATAATTCTGCAATACTTCCCAAACAGTAAAAAATATGACTAAGGTAAACAATACCCCAAAAGGAGATATTGGAAAAACCTCATGCACATCCTTTTAAAAAATAAATACATAGTTATTATAGAGAGATAAAATATTGATCAGTTACATACTGGTAAATATCCTGGGGAAGCTATTCATCAATGCTACATCTGATAAGGGGTTAATATCCAAAATTTATAAAGATTCATGCAACTTAACACCAAAAGAGCAAACAATCCAATTAAAAATGGGCAGAGGACCTGAATAGACATTTCTCCAAAAAGAACATAGAGATGGCCAATAGACATATAGAAAGATGCTCAACTTCATTAATCATCAGAGAAATATAGATTAAAATCACAATGAGATCTCACTGCACACCTGTCAGAATGGCTATCATCAACAAATTAACAAACAAGTGTTGTCAAGGGTGTGGAGAAAGAAGATTCCTTGTGTGCTGTTGGTGGGATTACAAATTGATGCAGCCACTGTGAAAAACAGTATGAATGGTTCTCAGTAAATTAAAAATAGAACTACCTTAATGACTCAGTAATTCCACTTCTGAGTATTTATCCACAGAAATTCAAGACAGTAATTCAAAAAGACATAAACACCCCAATGTACATTGCAGCATTATTTATAAACACCCAAAATGGAAACAACCTAAGTACCCATCAATAGATGATTGGATAAAGAAGGTGTGGTACACACTATATACAACAGCCATCAAAAAGAATAAAACCTTACCATTTGTGCCAACATGATTGGACCTAGAATGTATTATGCTACGTGAAATGTCAAGACAGAGAGCAACAAATACCATATGATTTCACTTACAGGTGGCATCTAAAGAACAAAGTAAGTAAACAGACAAAACAGAAATAGACTCATGGATATAGAGAATAAACTGATGGTTGCCAGAGGGGAGTGGGTAGAGGAGCTAGGTGAAAACAGTGAAGGATTAAGAAGTTCCAGTTGGTAGTTACAAAATAGACACAGGGATGTAAAGTACAGAATAGGGAATATGGTCAATAATATTGTAATAACTGTATGGTGCCAGGTGGGTACTACAATTATTGGGGGGATCATTTAGTAAATTAGGTAAATGCCTAACCACTGTTCACCTGATACTAACATAAAATAATATTGACTTTCAACTAATGTAAAAATTAAAAAGTATTTGTTTAATTTTAACAAACATACAGAAAGTCAACACATACAAATTTAAAGTGAACACACCTATGCACAAATCATGAAAAGGACACATGCCTGTGAAAAGGTAGCAGAAGTGGAGCCCTTTTAAAATAGAGCCACAAGGGCATTGCCTGCCACCTCCATCCCATCATATCATCAAGAAGTTACCATTTATTTTTTCATGGTGAGAACATTTGAGATCTACTCTCCTAGCAACATTCAAATATAAGATACAGTATTATTGTCTATAATCACCATGCTACACAATACATCAAAGTTGTTAATCAAAGTTGTTAATTTGATAACTGTAAGTTTGTGATTTTGTTTTCAATTGAGCTCACTCTTCCACCTCATATTTGTGTGTGTATCTGTTTTGTTTTGTTTTTTATTTTGTCAAAGACAAACAACAAAAATCGAGCAAGTAAGGAGATTGACTTTATTCAGGCTATTGCAGTAGGGAAAACAGTCCAGATCTGAAGATCAGAATGTTTCTGCTAGGTGGTTTTGCTTTAGACTTTTATAGGGAAAAATAGGCAAATTATAGGTGGGGAATTGTAAATTTGGAATTGTTACTGTGACTAGGGGAGTCTGTTTGCTGAACAAGAAATATTTATCTCTGTGCTTTGCTGGTTTGTCAGGGAAGGGGATGAACAGTTCACCTATTCATTTATGAGACAAAGGAATAGGAATTTGGAAGGGGTGTGTCTGGCTTTGTTTTGGGTAAACAAGCTGTTCATCAGTAAGTCTTACTCTGTCAAATGGGGCAGGGAGGTTCTTTGTAGTAGTCAGTCATTTCTGGACATGGTTTTCCAGCAGCACAGGGGAAGTTCGATATAGTTACTCTGCTTTATTTGAACCACAGACATAAATGCTTAGTTTACTCTAAGACACCTTACCCATCTTCAATTAAAACTTTTCATTTTAGTCCTGGCCGGGTAGCTCAGTCAGTTGGAGCACTAGGGTTGCTGCTTAGATCCCCAGGCACTGCAAGAATCAACCAATGAGGGGGCAGGGGGGTGGGGGAAATCAACCAATGAGTGCATAGTAAATGGAACAATTCCAAGTCTGTCTGTCTCTCTCAAATCAATGAATAAAAACTTACTTTATTTTTGAGCAGTGGTTCTCACTGGGGAACATTTGGCCAAGCTGGAGATAATTTGAGGGGGGGCTCACAACTGGGTTTTGGTGGGGTGCTTCTGGCATCTAATGGTGGAACCCGGAAATGCAGCTAAACATCTCAAATGCACAGGACAGCCTCCCACGGTCAAAAGTTAACCAGCTGCAAAGCAGGGGCAAGTCAGGGGACTGTAAATTCTCTGCCCACAGCCCCTTTGTGAAAGAACCAGGGCTTTGGAAGCTAGGCAAAAATGTCTGAAAACTGAAATTCCTTCTATTGTGCATAAAAGAAGGCTCAAAGGATTTTTAAATGCACTTTGATTTTCCTCTTGGAATTATTGATCATTCATTACTCATATGTTTGTTACCTATTATTTGAAACATGGCAGCTCAACTTGCAGGATTTTTACATAAAGTTTGTCAAATTTTAGTTGTAAAAATTTGGGGAAGGAAGAACCTTGAATGTTAGTTGAGAACCATGGAAGGGCAGGAAGCAAAATTTTTCCATAATGAGCCAGAGAGTAAACATTTAGGCTATGTGAAACTAAAGAGAAACTCTCTCCCCACTGTCTCCTTTAGTTTCAGGCTATGCTTAATACTTCACTGCTGACACTCTGGCTACAAATTTCCCTCACACTGAATGATTATCAGATTCCCTGGATAGCAGCTGGGTGTCCAAGTTAACTCAGTCTGACATTACTTGCCCAGAGACAGCATCAGATCTTACAGGTTCTGGCCTTAGTCCCACAAGATTGCACTCCCTCCACTCTCTGCCGCAACTTCAACTGCCAATGGCAAGTCCAGGTTGTCACCTGTGCTTCTGACAGCTATAAATTGGAAGCTCCCATGACCCCCTCCTTGGTTTAATGAATTTGCTAGAGCAGCTCACCAAACTCAGGAAAACAGGTTGTTTACTAGATTACTTCTTTATTACAAAAGATATAAGGGTGGGGTCCATAAGGGTCCTGAGCACAGGAGCTCATGTCCTGTTGCATTTGGGGTGCATCACCCTCCAGGCACACACAGGTGTTCTTGTTGAAATAAATCACTTCATGGAGACTAGGAGAGGGCAGGGCTCCAGAAAGGTGAGCCAGACCCTCAGCTGGCTTTTCCCTTGAGGTTGTCTAAAAGAGGCAGCTGAGCAACTAATATGAGCTTTAGGTATCTGCAGGCTCAAGAGTGAAGGGTGAGAGGCAGGGGCTCCTCGCTGTGGGCTGGCATCCCAGGGGAATGTCTGTTAGAAACAGGAGAACTAACTGGAGGCAACCCCATGACCATACGGACTGCAGCCGGTTTCCCGTCGCTGAAGGGCCCAGAAGAAGCCCATGCACCTGCAGCACATTACTACCGGACAAAGCACACTCTAATGCAGAAGCACAAACAGAGATAACAAAGGTGACTTCATAAACATGAAATATTCAAGGCACCAGAAGACAAAACAATCCTGAATATTTGTACTTAATGGTTCACTGATGGAACTACAAGCAGAAATAGACAAATTCAGTACCACTCTGGGTGATTTTAATATATATCACTCCATGACTGATACACCAAAGAGACCAAAAAGAATCAGTCAAAATAAATAAGATTTAAACACAATTCAATAATTTGAATATATATAGAAAATGCACTGAATTTACAGAATTACACACTCATCAAAATACCCATTTCTCTTTCAGCACAGACTATATATTAAGTTTGACCAAAAGTGCTACAAAAGGCAAGTCTTGATAAATTTCAAAGAATTAAAATTATACAAGATATACACAATGCAATACATTAGAAAACAATAAGAAAAGCATAAAGAAATCCCCCATCTATCTGGACATTAAAAATGTACTTCTGTGCCCTGACCAGTGTGGCTCAGTTGGTTGGGTGTTGTCCCACAAGGGAAAATATGGCTGGTCCAAGTTTGATTTGTGGTCAGGGCAAATGCCTGGGTTGTGAGTGTGGTCTCTGGTTGGGGCGCATACAAGAGGCTACCGGTAGATAGTTCTCTCTCTCTCTTTCTCCCTCCCTTCCCCTCTCTCTAAAAATAAATAATAAAAAGCTTTAAAAAATAAAAAATAAAAATGCACTTCCATATAACTTATGGATTAAATTAAATATCTCAAATAAAAATCCCAGTTGATGTTATTCAAATATATTTCTTTGTATAGATTCCAGCAGAAAGGAAGACAAAATAAAGAAAAAGAGGAAGATGACTCAAAGGGGAGGGTGAGATGAGAATTGATTTAATCAGCATATTAATGCGCAGGCAAATGAGTAGCCACTACAAATTTACTAACACATGGAGTATACACTTGATAGTCATTATTTTCTCCAAGCTTTATTGAAATATAATAGACTTTTCAAAACCTGTAATTATTTATTAAAATTTACTAGTGCTTAATAAACATGTATATTAAATTATCTCATATATCCCAACATAAAATAAATTCCCAATATCACTGTTAAGTGTGTAATTAATATTATTCTGCCCATTTTGTAGATGGTGAGCTGAACTCAGAGTTAAGTTAGCTGATAAATGACAAGTAGTGAAACACAGGGCATCAGGATTTAGTACAAAGCTGTTTGACTACAAAGCCCATGATTAACCACCTTGCTAGGAGGGCTGAGTTAGGAAGAGTCCTGATTCTGGTATATGCAGTATTTCAGTCCCTTTGACTCATTCCAGAAGCTCACACCCAAGGCGGATGGCAAAGTCATGAAAAGAAACATGTTCTAGAGATAAGTTTCCTCAAAGCTCCCTTCATGTCTCTGTTCCTCAGGCTGTAGATGAAGGGGTTCAGCATGGGAGTGACCACTGTGTACATCACTGAGGCCACTGCCCTATTCCTGGAGGAGAAAGAGGTTGTAGAACTAAGGTAGACTCCCATACTAGTCCCATAGAACAAGAAAACCACCAACAGGTGAGACCCACAGGTGGAAAAAGCTTTATACTTGCCACCAGCTGATGGGATTCTCAAGATAGAGGAGACAATTCGAGTGTAAGAGAAAATTATCCCCAAGAGGGGACCCCCACCCAAAAGGCCGGTCATTAAATATACCAGGATGTCATTGACGAGGGTATCAGAACAGGCAAGTTGGAGGATCTGAGCAAGTTCGCAGAAGAAGTGGGGGATTTTCAAGTCTGTGCAGAAGGACAGATGCAACACCATCAGGCTGTGGAGCAAGGCGATCATAATGCTAACGAACAAGGGAAGGAGAACCAGCAGGCCACAGAGGCGTGAGTTCATGATGATGGTGTAGTACAGAGGGTGGCAGATGGCCACATAGCGGTCATATGCCATCACGGTCAGAAGTAAATTGTCCGTACATATAAAAACCATGAAAAAATATACCTGAGTGAGGCAGCTTGCGTAGGTGATGGCTTTGGTTTCTGTCTGGATGTTCACCAGCATATTGGGGACTATGGTGGTGCTGAAGCAGATGTCAACAAAGGACAGGTTGGAGAGGAAGAAGTACATGGGGGTGTGGAGGTGGGAGTCTGAGCTGACGGCCAAGATGATGAACAGGTTCCCAAGCACAGTAACCAGGTACGTGGTCAGGAACAGTCCAAAGAGAAGGGGCTGCAGTTCTGGGTCCTCTGAGAGACCCAGGAGGAGGAATTCTGCTACACCTGTTTGGTTTTCTGATTGCATGTTATTGATGAGTCTGCTGAAAAATAGAGACATGAATTACAATGAAACAGACATCACTTGTTTGACACAATCTTTTAGCTATTCCTTCAATTCTACCAGTGTTTAAAGATTTTATTTTTTTATTTTTAGAGAGAGGGGAAGGAAGGGAGAAACAGAGGGAGGGAAATGTTGATATGAGAGAGAAACATTGATTGGTTGCCTCACACGCCCCCAACTGAGAATTGGCCTGCAACCCAAGCACGTGCCCTGATTGGGAATAGAACCAGTGGCTTTTTGCTTTGTGAGACAATGCCCAACCAACTGAGCCATAGTGGTCAGGGCTCTAGTAATATTTAAACAATTCTTCCCTTCAGGTTTCCCTACTAATTCCTTCCTTCACCAAATAATTTTGGGGTGATTTGTACATATCATATATTTTTCTAATGCTATAATTAAAAATGAAAACATATGCTGTTTTATTTTTTTTAAGGAACTGTCATTCCCATGTGCTATTTTAAAAATCTAGAATTAAATTCTAGCTGTTTCTTCATACAACACGAAACCTGTTTAGATGACTTCATTTTTTTCAGAGAATCTTAACTCTGTAGTTAATTAGAAACTGAGTCTGCTCATTAATTGTAAGTCTCAGGGATTGCTGGAAATATCCCACATTTTCTATTGCTGCAATGTGAGAAATAACATCATTAAGTCATTCCTTTAAATATTCTATATTTTACAGTTAGATCAAACCACTTTATGGGACCCATCTATTTCGAGGGAACTGTTTGTGCTGGGTGGTGATTTGTCATTTGTCATGTGCCATTATTTGCTTATAATGAAGGATATTATAAGAAAAGGTCGAATGAGTCTCTATTGTGTCTATTGTAGAAATGTCACACCTGTATCCATCCCTTTAAACAAGAATACTTAGTGCTTTCTCTGAACAACTGGTTTGCTTTCTCTTGTAATCACATGTTTGTTTCATTTCTTTGGCTGCTAGGAACCGTATAGCTACATATGTGGACCACGTCTGAAAACTCAGGGTCACTTTATAAATAACCAAGTAATCATTGCTTTTGACTTATTTTTCCTTGGCAGCCACCTTCTAGGTTATGTCTATGTGGGAATGGTTTTGTGATTACCCTCCACCCTCCAAGCACTCTTGAGTGCATTCGAACCTGTGCATCTTTGAGGAGAAATCTTCCCAAAAGTGCCAGTGCAGGTCCAGCCACCCCTGTGGATCACTTCGGCGGCATGCCATGCAATAAACCCAAGTCCTCACTCTGACTTTCAAATTCCTCCGTCGCCTGGCCCCTGTAACAATCGCACATGAGGTGATGTACTTTCAGCAATTGCCGCCTCATAAAACTAGCACTCCACATCATGGCCGAGTCCGGAAACTCTCAGGAGAGAAGTCTAAGGTGTGTAAATACCAGCACAAAAACTCAGTTGATGAAAATATGTCATTTCCTGCTCTCATCAAAACTGAACTACTCATTTCAGGATGTGTGCTTTACACATATTGTTTCTTTTTCTTTTTAAAAGTTATTTTGGGGGGCAGAGGACACATTCTTAACAGAAATGAAGGGAGGATGGAAGCATGGAGACTTGAGCAAGCAAAGGAGATGAGTGAGCATTTTTTCCTCTGCCCTCATATGGGGTGGAGTGGGCAAGAACTGTTCAACTAGCTAAGGTGATCATTCAGGTCTCTTTACAGGATCACTGCTCAATCCATGGTTTATGAGGAAGGAAGGACACAGTCTAGGAGGAGAGAGGGAAAAGAAGCTAAGTGACATTCAAAGAACATTTGTGTACTTCAAATAAATAAGATGTTTTGTGCATGAAACAAGAAAGGGTCTCAATACTGGGGACATAGTGGATACTTTAGAAATATTTCCTGGCTGGCGTAGCTCAGTGGATTGAGCTTGGGCTGCGAACCCAAGTGTCGCAGGTTCAATTCCCAGTCAGGGTACATGCGTGGGTTGCAGGCCATGACCCCCAGCAACCTCACATTGATGTTTCTCTCTCTCTCTCTATCTCCCTCCCTTCCCTCTCTAAAAATAAATAAATAAAATCTTTAAAAAAACAACCTAAACAATATGTACCTTTATTGTTAAAAAAAAAAAAGAAATATCAGCTCTAATTATTGCCTTTGTGATTACTTTTATTAATAACAACATAGTTGTTAGGGTAGTCCGAATGGGAAATGTTGAGCTCAGTTTAGGATGTTTCTTTTCCCTTCATTTCCTGACGCACAGGCTGTCATCTGTTTCAACAGCCACTACTTTGGAAATATGAGGTAAGGTTATATATTTGGAAAATTTTTAAATGCAGGAAAAAAACTTGATAATTTTTCTGTGTTAGAATGTTAAAGAGTTTCTCAAAAAGTTAATAATTGAATTAGCATATGATCCAGCAATTCCACATCTGGGTATAATCCAAAAGAAGTGAAAGCAGGGTCTCAAAGAGATATTTAAACATATGTGTCCACAGCAGCTTCTTCACAATGGCTGAAAGATGGGAGCAACCCAAGTGTATGTGGCAGATGAATGGGTAAGCAAAGTGTGGGGTATGCATACAATGGGATGTTAAATATCATTCAGCCTTTAAAAAAAGGAAATTCAACACATGCCACAACACAGATGAACCTCCAAAACATCACGCTAAATGAAATAAACCACAAAAAGACAACTACTGTATGATTCCACTTGTGTGAGATACTTAAGAGTAGTCGGATTCATAGAGGCAGAAGGGCGGTGGCCAGAGCTGGCAGGCAGCTGAATGGGCAGAGAGTGTTCCAGTTTTGCAAGATGAAATGCATTCGGAGGTGAGGGGCAGTGATGGCCACACAAGGGGGAGGCACTTAATACCACTGAACTGTCACTTCAAAATGGTTAAAACAGTAAATTTTGTGTTGTGCATATTTTTCTGTAATTAAAAAGTGAATACTTAATACAAATGTGGAATGAACTCTTCTGGTTTGCCTTAGCTGTGCTCCTGTCCTTCTCGGTGCTTTGAGAAATCAGCCGCCCCTCACACTTCAAGGATGTTCTTAGGGACACAGCCCCATGCTCACTTTTTAAAAAAAGTTTTCTCATTTCACATATTTATTTCAATCAAACAGCCTTCATTTTTTTTTATCCTCACTCAAAGACATGCTTCTTGATTTTAGAGAGACGCAAATGGAGGGAGCAAGAGAAGGAGAGAAATATTGATCAGTTGCCTTTCATATGCACTTCAAAGGAGGACCGAACCTGTAACCCAGGCAGGTGCCCTGACCGGGAATTGAACCTGCATCCTTTTGGTTTGGAGGACGATGCCCAATCAGCTGAGCCACATGGGCCAGAGCCATTCTCACTTCTGTCTCATCCTTCTCCCTCAGCCAAGGAGTCCTTCAGATCAGGGACTACTTAATGTCTTTCGTGGAGACTCGGGTCTTACCTCCTTCTGTGCTTGGTAGGATCATAGCCAACCTGACTCAGTGAGCACTGTCTCCTGGAGAATCCATGGCATAAGCAAGGCTTAGATCCCCACCAACTCTGTCCCCTCATTCTGCTTCAGGATCTTGGACGGTGAGTCCTTGGGCCCTTCCAACAAGACTGGAAAGGAATTACTGGGTGGGTGGGTCTCTCAGTGCCTTCCCATTGTCTGTGGACAGCTCTTATTCCAGGAACTGGAATGCCTGACCATGTGACTCCAGGGTTTCTTACCTCACAAGAGACAGGAAAAATCACACCAGGGAAAAGAAACCCTCTAAGTGGGGTAAGTGTGGAAAAGCCTTCAGGAGGCATGTCCCTCTCACACTGCACATAAGAGCTTACACTGGAGAGAAGTCCTATGAGGGTAATCAATGTGGGAAAACCTTTAGTGTGAGGTGGAACCTTACTGTGTACAAGACAGTGAGTCCTGGAGAACACCCCATCAATGCAATGTCTGTGGGCACACTCTCAGTAAACTCGTACACCTCTGGTGCCATGAGAGAGCTCAGGGTGGATGAAACCCCTAGTGATGTCCACTCAGAACGGTGTCGAGTGAACATACAAGCAAATGTTGACTGAAGAGAAAATCGGGTGTGAAGGAGGTGAGAACGTGTCTGAATAACACACGTGTGGGAGAGACCTCAGCTACAGACGACCGTGAGCAATTCTCTGCTCATTCATCACCCCTGAAATTTCCATGGCAGACACTCAACACTGAGAGAGAGAACTGGCAATATCTTTAAGACTTGTTACTTGAGAAAAATAAAGACCTAGTGGATTAGGCTACCATGTTTTACCAGTGTGTTTGTTGGGGTGTGTGTGTCGGTGTTGGGAGGAAGGTTGTTTCTCTTTTTTCTCCCAACTGACTGCAATCACTAACCAATATAGCCCATGGCAGTTTGGTTTTAAATAAATAACATATAGTAAAAATTTGAATAATTACTTGCTGTATAGGGATGTGTGTTTAATAGATGTTTATCTATTAGATAAATCTTTTAAGCTGCACTTACAAATTATCTATATATTTGTCCATTTCATGTCTCTTGACCTGCCATCTTCTGAGAGACTCATTATAGATTCAATCATCCATAATGAATCTTTCTATAAAAACTGTGGTTAGTTAAATTCTCCTTGGAATTCTGAGCTTTTTACAACACATTTTATTGTTTATACTTAACATGTACAAAAATGTATAACTGCCCTGGCTGGTGTGGCTCAGTGGGTTGAGCACCAGCCCAAAAACTTAAAGGTCACTGGTTCAATTCCCAGTCAGGGCACATGCCTGGATTGCAGGCCAAGTTCCCTTCTGGGGATGTGCAAGAGATGTTTCTCTCCCTCTCTCTCTCTCTCCCTTCCCCTCTCTCTAAAAATAAATAAAACCTTTTAAAAAATGTATAACTCCATGAATTTTTACAAGACAAAAAAAAAAGACTGTATTATCTACCCCCCACACTGGCCAAAAAATAGATGATCAGACCCCAAGAATCATCCTTTAATGTTCCCTTTTGATCACTAATCACCCTGATTCCTACCACCAGAATG